GAGGGAGAGAGAGAAAGAAAGAAATAATCGTATAGTTTTTCCTCTTTATGGTACAAAACTTATTTTAACTTTTTCTTTTACAAAACTTATTTTAACTTTCATTTGCGTTGTAGTTGAAATGAAAATGGTCGATTTCTTGATTTGAAAATAAAATCAATACACATTAGGATGCAGATGCTTTTTAAGTTATTGGAAAAGCATATGGTTATAGTATCGATGAAATTTGAATTACGAGTAAAAATGTGATGATCGATAAAAACTTTGAAGTTTGTTTTATACACAGCTATTGGAAGAAAGATGAAGAAATTTTTTTTTTTACTATTTATATTAAATTTCAAAGCATGCCAGAAATTTTGACGTACTTTTTTCCTACATTTTTTCCTACAATATTTACACGTTTTCCTAATGTAAGTCAGATTTTTAACACTGAATTATGCAATGAAATCTATGTTATTAGTTAACATAGTTATTAGTTAACATACATGTTACAAGTTAAAAAAATTTAGACAGTTTAAAAGTTAATTTCTGGCTGTGTATATTTTCTGATATTTCACCACTACTAGATCTGTCGTACCAATAATATTCTTTCCAATTTTGACGAAATTTGTTATACAGTTGCTAAATTAACATTGCGGATTTACTACACTAAGTTCTTTAAAGTTAGCGACGAAAAACTATACATCGATTTTCGAATTACCTTAATGCGCAATTTATAATTCGAAAAAGTTCTGTATTTACTCGTAATTTCTCATTTAGATATAAAAAAATTAATTTTAACTCTTTTGTTCATTTCTAAATTTTTTTTTTTTTTTTAGCAAATGAAATTAAAAGGATGGAAAGGGACTAAACGATTATAAGCTCGTTTATGATACTTATGGTTCCAATATTCTAGCTCAGATAAGGTTCGATAGTCTGTTTCTCAGCACATGTAGGTATCCTAGGGGCATGAAAACAAATTAAGGCTTTAATATCAGCGATAACCATGGGAGTAGGCCGTGGTTTTCTTTTACAATCAGCACACACAAAAAAAATTTCAAAAAAATTCAAAAATAATTTATTTTATTACTTTACTCAGCTCCCTTGTCTTCCGAGTTGAGTTATGTGTTCGGAGAAACAAGTTTTATCTCCTTTATTATAAGGATGATCTCGAAAAATATTCGAAGACGGAAGGGAAAAAGAGTTGGTCGTTTTTAGTTGATAAAACGCATCTCTCTACTACGTTAATTATAAACACTATTAAAGCTAAAATAATGATTATACGGAAGTATACTTTTATATCCTCAAATACACTTCGCAGATAAGTGATGTGATGTCTTTTCTATTATCTGTGCTTGATGATTCTAAAGATGGATATTTTTTAGAAGTCAGCTTCAAAGGCAAATGCGTCAACGTCATTATTTATCGCACAACTTTTAGTTAAGGACTAAATACTTTGGCAGGTTTAGAATTATTCTCGTTTCGTGTCGTTCTCATCACGTATTTAATTGGCGTTAAAAGCTTACCTGAGTGTAATTATACACTTTCCTTTATCATCAAAGCTTGGCGATTTGAAACTTAACAGAAAAGCGCTTTCTATCCAAATGTAGTTGACCTTGAATAGGGATTGAGTGGATCTCTTGGGATTCTCAAGTGCACTTACCCCTAATTGCAATGGCTGTAGTGTTTTACTTTCCATACCCCAGAAAAGATGATTTTAATTTTCCCTTGGGATCTAGAAAATCCATTTTCATGTGATGGCCGTATATGGACGGAATTTAAATAGAAGTGTTTATTAATACCTCTCTTGTAAAATAACACAATAATTTAGCGATAGTTCTTGATATTTGATATTTAAAAGAAATCTAATTTTATCCCAGTCGCGCTTTTATTACAATCGATATTAAATCACCTTTTTTTAATATTTAATTTCTTTTAGGAAAAACACGAATATACTGATATATTTTAATTTTAATAGATACATAATGAAATATATTTTTTATTTCCTTCTAACTCATTGTTAAGTCTTCAGAATATATTTCAGAACATTACTTTTTCTATTATCATCATCGAGAGAGTTGACTACGATTAAGTTGAAAGATGAACATGGCTATTTTTCAAAATTGTGACGCACACTTAATAATTTCATCAGACACACATGGAAATATATTTCTTATTCCTTTTTAATTCACCATTCAAGTTTTTGTTCTAGTATCGTCACTTTTAAATGTATCGAGCACATTTGCTACCACTAAATCGAACATTTTCTGAACGAATGTATTCTTTATAGCAAATTTTCTGAATATTATTTTTTCTAGTGTCAGTATTCACTTTTAAATGTATCGAGCACATTCGCTGCAACTAAATCGAATATTTCTGAACGTATGTATTCATTATGACAAATTTTCTGAGCATTATTTTTTCTAGCATCAGTATTCACTTTTAAATTAATAGAGCTCATTCGTTACAACTAAATTGAACGATAACCATAGCTATGTTATCATTTTTCCTGATTGTGGAATCTACTTAAAGATTTTGTTTTTATAGATACACATTCAATTATATATCCTAATAATTCATGATTCAGTCTTCGGAATAGTATTCTTTCTATCATCAGAATAAAATTTTACATATATTAAGCGTATCTACTACAGCTAAGTTGAAAGATAAACATAATGCGCATTATTTTTCTAAATTGTAGAATATATTGGGGGGACCGGAAAGTAATGCCGTTTCAGCGCATTTGTCTTAAAAACCAACTCATTTCTTTCGATCCATTTCGATTCATTTTTGATCCGTCATTGAAAGGTTGTTGCTAAAGAGGCTGAATTCATTAATGATTAAAAATTAAATCTTGGAAACAAATATCAAATGCACCGAAATGACATTACTTTCCGGTCTCCCTAATCCTTAAAGATTTTGCTTTAGTGAATGCAAATTGAACTATATACGTCATTTCTTTTAAATTCAATAATCGAGCACATTTTCTTCAATAAGTTCACGGATTTAAATAATAACGCAGATTTTCTATGTTGCACTGAGCCTGAAGCTCAAAAAGGTCGGGAGCTCCTAATTAATAAACCTCAAAATTTAATTGAAGTTTATATACACTGGAAACAGTTATCTGTAATATTGATGTAAATTATCAAAGTTTTGCTGATTTAATTCGTACAACTTTGGTATCCGAAAGCACAGAATATTTTGATGCAAATTTATACTGCGTTTGAAATTGATTTAAACTGTTATTAGAGATATTTTAAAGTTCAATTTACCCGTAAGAATAGAACTGGGAAATAAGTCGCAGAAGATGTTTTCCATTTCTATTTGTGAAAAGACAACTTTAAATGAATCATAAAACGGACTATTTGTATTTCTTACTTGGTTGAAGAACATATGAATGCAGTGGCGTACGCAGAATTTTTTCAAGGGGGGTGCTCATAACTTTCTGAAACTACTAAACGACATTC